GACCTACAAGTAATTTCATAATGCATCAAATGTAAACAGATCAGATTAGTTGAAACCAAAGATTGTCAGAATGGGTTAAAAGGAAACCATCTATATTCTGTGTACAAAGACTCATACATTAAACATAAGAATACAGGAAGGTTGAAAGAATGGAAAAAGACACAGCATGCAAACACCAACCTGAAGGCTAGAAGTATTACTAGAGGTGAAGAGGGATATTTCATTATTGAAGGATTTAGTTTATCAAGAAGGAGGGAAAAAGGATGTTGAGGTATATACATTATAATTGCATTGATATGTTTTAAAATGAATGGAAAAGGGCCGGCCCGTGGCTCACTCGGGAGAGTGCGGTGCTGATAACACCAAGGCCCCGGGTTTGGATCCCATATAGGGATGGCCGGTTCGCTCACTGGCTGAGCGTGGTGCTGACAACACCAAGTCAAGGGTTAAGATCCCCTTACCGGTCATCTTTAAAAAAAAAAAAAAAAAGAATGGAAAAAAGAACTAAAAGGTAGTTCAATAATCCTTATGAGTTAGGATAACTTTAAAATATTAGTTCTGGGCCGAGCCCGTGGCGCACTCGGGAGGGTGCAGCGCTGGGAGCGCGGTAGAGCTCCCGCCGCTGGTTCGGATCCTATATAGGGATGACCGGTGCGCTCACAGCGCTCACTGGCTGAGCGCGGTGCGGCCGGTCTCAAAAAGGACAAAAAAAAAAAATTAGTTCTGGGGCTGGCCAGTTAGTTGACTTGGTAGAGCATGGTGCTGGTAACACCAAAGTCAAATCCTCGTACCGGCCAGCTACCAAAAAAAATTTATAAATATATTTTAAGATGTTAGTTTTGTCAGACTGATTAGTTTTTGCACTTATGATTTGTGCTTTTTTTGGTCTTAAGATATCTTTTCTTTCTGAGCTCTATCTAACAAATAAGTTGTGTTCCTATTTTTTTTAAAGCTCTCTAGTTTTTTCCCCTCATATTGAGATCTTTAATTAACCTGAAATTTATTTTCATGTAATGTGCAAGGGATGTAATTTTAGTTTTTTTCATATGGATAACCAGTTTCTCAGTAGTTTTTCTCTTGAATTCTTCATTTGTAATGTCATTTCTGATACTGAGTTTCCATATGTGCTTGGGTCTATACCTAGGCTGTCTTCTGTTCCATTTGGCCACTTGTCTTTGGCCAGTATCACACTTTTAATTATAAGATGTGAGTCTTGATAGCTCGTTGCGTAAATACGTGGCTATTTTTGGTCCCTTTTTCTTCCATGTGGGTTTTAGGATCATCAGCTCCATGAAGAAGCTTGTTGAAATTTTGATAGGAATTGCACTGACTTTATACACTAACTTGGGAGAGAATTGACATTTTTGTTTTCTTTTTTTTTTTTTAAAGATGACCGGTAAGGGGATCTCAACCCTTGGCTTGGTGTTGTCAGCACCACGCTCAGCCAGTGAGCAAACTGGCTATCCCTATATAGGATCCGAACCCGTGGCCTTGGTGTTATCAGCACCGCACTCTACCGAGTGAGCCACGGGCTGGCCTTTGTTTTCTTTTTTTTAAAAAAATTATTTTATTTATTGAATCAAAATCGATTATACATATTTGGGGGGTTGAACGTTGAGATATGTTGATTAAATAATATTACTAACATATATATTGTTACAGATCGTAATTATTCTTTATGCACCTTATCCAATCTCTCCCCTTCTCCCATTTACTCCCCTTCCCCCTCTAATTACCCTAGATTTCTTCTCTCCTTCTGAAAGAAGGTTACTCTGTTAATTTGTTGCCTAGACGATCTGTCCAATACTGAGAGATGTGATCAGGTCCCCCCTCTTATTATCATAGAGCAGATGCTTCTTTTGTCACTCTGAAATGGGTTTTGTGGAAAGAGACACCCTCTTCTTTTCTTTGTCTCTGTTGGTGACTCTTCTTGTGTGAATGCACTCCAGTGGTTGGTGGACCATCTGCTTTATAAAAATTTTTTTAAAGGTGACCAGTAAGGGGATCTTAATCCTTGATTTGGTGTTGTCAGCACCACACTCTCCCAAGTGAGCAACAGGCTGACCCCAGAACTGACATTTTTTTTATCTTGAGTCTTTCTATCTGTGAATATGGTAGATTGATTTCTATCTTCTTTTATGTTCTTCAGTAAAGTTTTATAATTTTCTTCATAAAAGTCTTTCACATCTTTTGTTGTGAAATGTATACCTATTTGGGGCCTGCTGTTGCCTGGGCCACAGCTTCAGATCTCTCCTCTGTTAGCTGTGACCTTGAGTCTGCCAGGAGCCACTTTACCCTCTGTTGCAGATTCTGAAATGGGTCCAAGAATTTTCTGTCTTGCTTGTTTCTCGGGATTAAACCTGATGATGGCTACAAACTACTCAAATAAACAGAACTTTGAGAAAAAAAAGATATATATCTTGGAACCTTAAATTTTTATTTGTGCCATTAATTGTAAATGGCAATTGAAGTTATATTTTTAAATTATTTATACAATATTTAGGAATGCTGTTGGTTTTCATATGTTGAATTTGAATCCAATCCAGCAACCAGATTTTTTTTTTTTTTTTTTTTTTTTTTTTTTTGAGGTGACCAGTAAGGGGATCTTAACCCTTGACTTTGGTGTTGTCAGCACCATGCTCTCCCAAGTGAGCTAACCGGCCATCCCTATATAGGGATCTGAACCCGCGGCCGTGGTGTTATCAGCACCACACTCTCCCAAGTGAGCCACGGGCCGGCCCTAACCAGATTGTTTTATTTTTTCTAATGTTTTGTCAATTCTCTGGTTTTCTTCATGGACAAGTATATCATCTACAAATAAAATTTATTTTTCCCATTACTTATACTTTTACTATGCATGCATACGTAAACAATGTGGTTTAAGTGGACATTTAACAGTAATGTAATTATATACATGTAGTTATATTGTATGGTTTTTGGTTTTTTTTCGGTGGCTGGCTTGTATGGGGATCCAAACCTTGGTGTTATCAGTACCATGCTCTAACCAAGTGAGCTAATTGGCCAGCCCCGTTTGTATTTCATTTCTGTTTTTTTTTTTTTTAATACTAACTTTGTTTGAGAGGAGCGTCTGTGTTGTAGTTAGTGTAGTGTATTGTCATTGCTACATACTATTTTGCTGTAATGAATATCCCACAATTTATGTATCTACTGTGGTATTTATGAACATTTGGGTTGTTACCACTTTTCAGTTATTACTAATAATGTTGTTCCACATATTTTTGTTTGTGTATCCTAGTATACCTTTCCAGGCATAGATCTGCAGGTTCATAGAGTATACAAATCTAACCTGACATAGTCCTGGACAGTTTCCCAAGTTGGTTGTGTCAGTTTAGATTTCCACTGGCAGTACTGAGGATTCCTTTTGCTCCACATCCTTGCCAGTGGTTGGCATCACCAGTTTGGTTTGTGTCTAATTGTGATCTTGTAGTTTTCATTTTTCTGCATGATTAATGAGGTTGAGCACCATTTCTTTTTTAATTTAATTAATTAATTAATTAATTTATTTATTTAAAGATGACCGGTAAGGGGATCTTAACCCTTGGTGTGGTGTTGTCAGCACCACGCTCAGCCAGTGAGTAAACCCGCCATCCCTACATAGGATCCAAACCTGTGGCCTTGGTGTTATCAGCATCGCACTCTCCCGAGTGAGCCACGGCCAGCCCTTGTTTATTGCTTATTTGGATATTATCTTTTGTGATGGTCCTGTTCAAGTCTTGTCCATTTTTGTAATTGTCTGTCTTTATCTTACTGATTTGTAGTTCTTTATATATTCTGGGTATATAGTCTGGATATATGTTGCCAATATCTTCTTTGATTCTGTGACTTGTGTTTTTACTCTTTTTGTAGTGTCTTTTAATAAACAAAGTTTTTACTTTTAAAGTAGTATAACTTAATTAATATTTTCCTCTATGGTTAGTGCTTTTTATGGTCCTGTTTAATAAAAACTTTTCTCTACCATCGAGTTATGTGGATTATTTTCCTGTATTGCCTTCTAAAGTTTTCTAGGTTTGTTTCACATTTAGGTCTATAACCCACCTAGAATTAATTTATTTTGGTATAGTATAGGGTGAGGATTTAGTTTGATTTTCTTTTTTCCCATATGGATACCCAATTGTTCCACTACCATTTTTGGGAAATATCGCTACTTTGCCATATATCAAGGGTCTATGTTTGTATGAGTCTATTTCTGGACTTTTCTGTTCCACTAGTGTGCCTTTTCCAGACACATGAAAATGAATGTAAATAGAAAGCCCAAACAAGATGGAAGGAGTAAATACAAATTTTCAGTCATCGTAACATGAAACGGACTAAACACATCAGTTAGAAAGCAAAGATTATTACGTTTGATTTTAAAAATCTAGCTATAGTTCTTTAACAGAGACCCACTTAAAAAAAAAAAAAGAATTCAGAAAAGTTGAAAGTAAAAGATGCAAAAAAGAATTGCCAGGCAAATTCTGAGAATCCTGCATTTATATGGGAAGGAATGGGTATCTCAGTTTAACTCCATGCTTTATTGGGTCCAAGGCCTGTCTGCTCCTGTCCTCTAGTGGTTGTTAAAACTCAAGCCTCTAGATTATAGAGATGTACCTCCCAGGGCAGGCATGTTCTTTTTTTTTTTTCCTTGCCCTTGGGAATTTTCTCTATTGTAGGGTCAGCCACGTATTTAAAAGTAATTTGCTATATTTCATCTAGCATGTTTTAGGCATTTGTGCGATGTTTTCCTCCCAGTGGTTTAGTCTAGTGTGTGTTGTCTACACCATTAGTCTTTCATAGGGTTTTAAGAACCCACCCTTTTAGTGGGACCACTAAAAATGTAAAGTGATTTCCAGCTGGCATTGGGATTATAGATTATTTCTTATATTCATGTATGTTTCATATCTTTGCAGAAGAGTGCATATTGTATAACCTTCTTTGATTTAAAAAAAGAAATTGTCCTTAAGATCCTCCAAGTAATAGCCCTTCTTTTCCATTTGTTGCAGGTGGTGCGGTTGTGTCAGAACCCAAAGCTGGCGCTAAAGAATAGCCCACCTTATATCTTAGACCTGCTGCCAGATACCTACCAGCATCTCCGTATTATCTTGTCAAGATATGAGGGGAAGATGGAGACACTTGGAGAAAATGAATATTTTAGGGTGTTCATGGAGAATTTGATGAAGAAAACTAAGCAGACCATAAGCCTCTTCAAGGAGGGGAAAGAAAAAATGTATGAGGAGAATTCTCAGCCTAGGTAATGGAGAAATACTACACAAGTATTAATTCAGGTCTGTGACTGCCTGAATGGTAACACATAGAAGTAGTTGAGTTGATTTTAATTGTTTATGACATTTGATCTAAAGGTGTGTTTATATAAAAGGTGGCCTTTTATATAAAAGAGGACATTGGACCATCCCTAGTCTGATAGATTTGTTTATGTCTGAAAAATTAGTGACTTATAGTCATGAAAAAGGGTTAGAGGCAGTAAGTCCTTTGAAGACTCTGAAGATCATGAAAATAGGTGGGTAGGTGAGTTTGAAAGGAAGAAAGTTGGGGTTAAGCTGAGGTTGGGAATAAATAATAAGAGGTCAAATCTTGGCAGAAGCTGTAGCATATTAGGTAAATAAGTATAGGATGATAGGGGAAAAATAAACCAATAGTTTAGGTAACTTTTTTTTTTAAATAAAGCAAAGTGAAATGACATTTCTCTTATAGGTAAAAGTAACCTTTCATATAAAGTAGATAAGGTAAGGTAGGCAAATGCAGTTAATTCAATAAGTATTTGAGAGACCACTGTGTATACTTTTGTACTAATTAAATGTTAGAGACTGTAGGCCATCCTACACGTTGTTAGCTTGGTTGTTGTAAATTACATACTGGAAGAGAAATAAGTTAACTGTATGTGTGGATATAGTTGTGTTTGGTTTTGTCCTACTGGAAATATTAACTCATCTGGAACAAATGATATAAATTTCACTGGAACTTTTTAGTGAGTAAATTACTTATGAGGAGTGACTTGAATTAGGAGCAACCATAATTTCTGCAGGCATTTGGTTACCATGCATGACTCTAACAGTAATCTACTAAATGGAATCCTTGTTGCCTACCACTCCTTTTGCTCTGTTGGCTTAGATTCTGGTAATCCTAGTCTCTCACTTAAAATTTTACACACATCATTATTCATATTACCTTTACTGCAACAAATTATTCAGGTTTCATTTAGAATATTAGTCTTTTTTTTCTTAAAAAGATTTCTAGTGACTGATTCAATCTGTAGGAACCTTTGTTACTTCTAATTTAAATGAAAATGAACTTTATTCCTTTTAAATATTTAAATTTCATGACTTCTGTTAAAGTAATTGCTTTTTTTTTTTTTTTGGGTGGCTGGCCAGTACAGGGATCCGAACCCATGACCTTGTTATTATAAGGCTGTGCTCTAACCAGCTGAGCTAACCAACCAGACTTTCATTATAATAAAACCTTGACTATGTGGACCTCTTGGCTAAGAAGTCATTTTTTATTGCTGAGTTAAAAAAAATTTTTTTAAAATTCATTAGGTACCAAGACTTCAAAAATTTATTTTCTGTCTACTGTGAACTAGGTTCTGTATAATTCCAGGAGATGAAAAGGAGAGTTAAGCATTCAAATATGATATGACAAATGTTTTAGTTGAGATACAGATTGGAGTCAGATTGTAAATCTGGAAATACAGATTGGAGTCAGATTGTAAAGGGCTGTTCTTTGACTTCTAGACTTTCTCCTATAGATCATAGGATGTCATAGAATAGTTTTTTTTTTTAAGAGTATTTTTATAGTGAAATAAAAATTACAGATTTTCTCGTTTTCTTAGAACATACTGAACATGGTTTAGTATTTTTTTTGTGACTGATGGTTTATCACTGAGAAGCAATATAGTATACTGGTTAAGTGGATGGACTCTAAAGCCAACTGCCAAGTTTCAGTCCTAACTTTCCACTTACTATGTGGTCTGTTTCCTTATCTGTAAAATGAGGTAATAGTTATACTTTCCTTGTAGGGTTGTTGGGAGTTATTAAATGTGTAACTAAATGTTTAGTACTTAGAACAGTGATTGGCACATCAAAAGTGATAAATGGGGGGCCGGCCCGTGGCTCACTCGGGAGAGTGCGGTGCTGATAACACCAAGGCCCCGGGTTCGGATCCCATATAGGGATGGCCGGTTCGCTCACTGGCTGAGCGTGGTGCTGACAACACCAAGTCAAGGGTTAAGATCCCCTTACCGGTCATTTAAAAAAAAAAAAAAAGTGATAAATGGGTTAGGTCTTATTATCTTAATCATTGTCATTATTTTTATCATTTTTAACACAGATAATTGTATCCCGTTGTATATCAGCGATACTTCCAGGAGCTAATGAATATATTGTTTGCCCTTTTAAGTATATATTTTTATATATATTTGCCTTTACTAAATATAAGTATATAATATATACTATATAAAATATTAAAAGTAAGTATATAATTTGCCCTTACCAAATGATTTCAGACTACATTTACAAGTCCTTTTGCCTCTTTTTAAACCTCACTGTCAGTATGCCTGTCTGTATCAATTTCATTCCCCCTAATATGAGGCTTTTAATCCTCTACGGGCTTTGAATCCATACAACCAGGTTTGTACAAATTATATGTAAATTGATAGATTTCAAGTGAGAATCAGGGTTTTTTTTTTTGTCTTTTTTTTTGTCTTTTTTCCGTGTCCGGCAACGGATCGCAACCCTCAGTGTTGCCCCCGTACCGGACCGGGGACCGGCAACGGGAT